TGAGGGTGGTGAAACACTGGAAGAGATGGCCCAAAGAAGTTGTGGATGTTGCATCCCTGGAAACATTGAAAGTCAGGTTGGGAAGGGCTCTGATCTGGTTGAAGATGTCCCTGCTCATTGCATGGAGTTGGACTAGATGACCTTTAGAAGTCCCTTCCAACCCAAACTATTTTGTGATTCTATGATTTTACGACTTTACAATTTTACCTCTCTAGAACTTCTTGACACTTTCAAGTGGGCAATGCTATCAAGAAATCCTGTGACCCTTCTTCCTGAAAGCCTTCTGCCCCTTCCAGGCATTACAGCCTAGCATGAGTAGCAGTCACACTTACTGCTAGTGGGCTAAAAGACAAGTAGTCTATCCTGTTTACTGGACAAGAAAAGAGGAAGTAAAATGTCTTAATTCAGGCTTTCTGGTCTCTGTAAATTTAATGCATCAGCAAACTGGGGGTTTATGTCCTGAATAATGTACAGACTGGACTGTGGAGGAGTCCCTCACCTTTAAGACTGTTCTGAAATGTAAGTTTTAGGTGGGTGTGAAAGAAATAGTTTCTCAAGTCTGCCATATATATTGTTTTGGAATATTAATGCTATAAGAGCTCTTTATACTCTGTCCTTCCCACCTCACAGATCTTTCATGCAGATGCCAAATATTTTGGTTATGTATATACCATACACTACAACTTCTTAAAATACACTACTGAGTTCCTTTGATAAAGTACACTCATTTTGCCATGGTTTGGTCTGTTGGTTGGTTTTCTTTTCTAAGTAAGTATTTGACAGTATTTCTCATCAAGCAACATTGTGTTGGCTTAGTTAGTGTACAGCCAGGCCAGAGTTTGAATTGTAAAGGATACATTTAAAGCATTTTTGTCACTAAAAATCGCAGTAAAGACACAGAGATCAGTTTTAAATCCTTGAGCAGATTTCTGTGTATGACAGGATTGAGCTCAGTGATAGCAAATAAGACAGAGGAAACAGCTTAATTTCTCAAGTACGAGAAAATGAATATTATCTTAAATTACAATCTCATGAACTTCAATTGTGCCTTTTTCTCAGACTAAGAGGGACACCCAGTGGCCGATGAAATTATCACTGCTTCCTGAAAGTGATCACTCAGTCAGACTAGAACGTATGTAATGCTTTTTGGCTCACTGGAAAACAGAGATGAATCTCATCAGCCAGCAGCTGGAGCAGCCCCTTCTAGCTCAGGAGGGCAGGTCAGGACGAGCTCTGCCCGTGGCAGCTGCCACGCTGGTCAGTGGCCGTGACTGCCCCTGCCATTGCTCCCTCTGCCTGAATCTGAGAAATCAACAGGACGATAATGAGCTGTGTCTGGCTGTGCAATGTGCAGGAGGCCAAGAAATACCAGCCAGTCATTTACTCATTTTCTGATTGCTGTTTGCAGGCTTTTATTTTTGTGCCTCATTTCTGCTGTACCTGCTTTCCCTTCTGTACATCACCATGGCATGGCACAGGTGCTCACCAGGCTGATCTGCAGGACCCCAGGCAGAGAGAGATCAACATCCTGATGCAAATGCTCCAGCAGAAACGGGAAGTGTTAGAAATACATTGTGAGTTCAGCCAGGCTCCCTCTTCTTAGGCATCTGATAAGGTGTGAAGAAATAAAACTCTATTCATCATCATCATCATCGTCATCATCACTGTTACCTCAGCACAGCCTGCAGGTGTGTCTGGAGGTGTGCAGGACTCGTGGTGATGTGTCAGCAGCCTCTGGCTCTGGGAGAGGCTGTGGGGAGCAGGCCCAGTCAGCCATCCTGTGAGTGATGAAAAAAGGCAAACTCACGTGTTTGGTGCTCCACACCTGCCTATGGGCTAATTAGAATGCCCTAATTAGAATGACCTAATTAGAGGTGAGTAAAACATTTTTATGAGCTTGCCACTGAGTGTGCTGCAGGACACAGCTCCTCCAGCACAAGTTCCATGTGCTGTGCCCTGGGCCCTGTGTGGGGCAGGCACACAGGGGAGGTGGCAGAAGGGCCACCCAAACACCCAGAGCCACTGGGGACCCTCCCGGCCTGCCTCTGACCCCAGCACAGCATCACTGCTCTTTGTCATCCAGCATGTGACAACATGACCACAAACAACATTCTGAGTGTTTTATTAACAAGTATAGTACATATGCACTGTGCACTAAATATACTAAATATACTAAATATAGTATGAGGACTGTACAGTACAAATTTTTTATGTTCACAGTTTGACATGACAAAATGTCATTACTGACTTCCCATTGGACTACCAAAGTAGAAACAGTGAAAGTACATTAAACATTCACATCTTTAGTAAGAAAAGATTACCAAAATGTCTCCATATTTGCAAGTTATAGTAATGCACGCTAGAAACCTTTAATTAGCCATTTTGTCTTATTAGCTTATAAAATATATTACATTTTATTTTAAAAATTCTGCATAGTTTATAGAAGTATCAAAGTAAATAAAAGTCCTTGCTCTATTTGCAGGTGAGAGATGCTAAGCAAAAAGATTATTTTGACCTCCAAAGTACATTAAGTGCTAATATCTGTAAAATATAATGAAAAATGGTCTAGCCCACTTAAGAGATGTAAAATGCTTTGTAAAAATTTAGGAAGGATTTGTATTCATCATGTTGCTAACCTTGGCAGAGACAACATATTTGAACAAGATGTGGCATTAGAAGTATCACTGCAGAATGCCATGTGTACATTTAAATAAACCCCACACATTCATACCTGCTTAGTTTCTTGCAATTGTACTACAAACTAGTAATTTATTATAATCAAATAGCTTAAACAGACACATTTTAGTAAAACAGTATTACCTGTTACACACTGCACAGTGCAATACTGTTACAGAGAAAGGGGGGGGGGTTTAAATATACTCATTCTCCAGGATTAGGATTTTGTCTAAACTGGCTTTTCTTTAGGGCATAGATGGAATGACTGGTTTTGCAAAGTGTTTAATTGAGTACATTTCAAAGTTGCAAGGTATCCTTCAAATCAAAGTTTGCTAAAATTACACAATGAGCTGGTTAAGATGTGAATTCACATTCAGCTAGAAGTGTATTTGTTTGTGACCTTTTAGACATCCCACAAAGACACCACAGACACAACCGAAAAATCCTATAAGGAAAGCATTATCATGTAATAATCTCAAATACTTATATTTAATCTTGAATTTTCAGTTGTCCTAATTCACAAGACACATGGATGAAATTTGAAAGTTCTGCTCAATCTCCACTGTATTAGACCCCATCATTAGTGTAGAAATACTTTCAGGAAAAAGGTACATAAGCTAATGAATTAACACGGCAAATAACCCAGACTAAATCATCTGAAGTAACTCTTAGTTACAAAAAAGTTCTGCTTTCAAGGTACTGATTTAAAAAAATATTAAAAAACATACTAATGAAAACATTTTATGTAAATCTCAAAAGAGAAACAGAGCATTAGAAAGAAATGTTCCTTAAACATCCTGTATTTTATAAATTTGCATTTTTAAGGTAGAAATGGGACCAGTTGCCATTAAGGTGCTTATTTTCTAGTATCTGTTTTGCCCCTCATCAACAGAACAGAGAATTGTTTTCATCCCAGGGTACTAAATGTCTGTAGACTTGTGACTGATGCTACAGGGCTCCCTCCACACAACCTCCCAGCCAGTGACGGGCCTGGATTCACAAAATTGCCAGTAAAACCAAGAGCAAATTCTGCTACCAAAAAAATGAAAAGTAGGAAGTCCACATTCTGGAACAGCTGCTCATTAATATCAGTCTCTTTCCTACAAGTTTCTCAATGTCACTAACCATCTGCCCTACCAAGAAAGAAAAAAGGCCAATTCATGTGCCGGGTGTTTCAGCGCCACACGTGAGCAGATGAGGGAGAGCTGTAGGACACGAGATGCAGCCCTGCCGAGGTGGGGAGGATGTGTGGAGCTGGAACAGAGCAATTGCTGTCAGAGCATTTTTCTACAGCAAGTACAAACCTCTCCTTCTCTGATTCCACAGGCATGTGGATGTCAGCAGAACAGCTGGTGAAGTCCTATCACCAAATAAAGGCTCTTTGCACTCACACTCTTGCATCTCCAAGACTGTTTGGGATTGGGCTCCATTGCTTATAGAAGCACAGCCTACCTGCTCCACAAGCTCAAACTTCCCATCTGCAGATGGACACTCCACCTGTCTCCTGCAGGGTTCTACCAAACTCTTCCTCCCCCCACACCTCCATTGTTGGCTGGGTTTTTCCAAAAGAAAGGAAAAGCTGACTTCAGTATGTTTAACGTACAGAGAATGGTGGTTGCCTTACATAATGCAAGGAAGGGGAATGTGCTTGTGTGTGTGTGTAGAGAAATACATCCTGTTTCTTGCAGTGCCACAAAGTCTGCCAGCCAGAAACCTTCCTTTCAGAGGATCCAAGACAGGAACATTTCTAGGGGCAACTGCAGGTTGCTTGAATTCAGTTTCTTTTAGCTATGTAGTTCTGTTTGCTAATGGGCATGGTTTTAATGCAATAGACACATCCACAGGGAAGCAGTTGTACCTTCCATGGAGAGACTACCAGAGTCACAAACCAGAATTGGATGATTTGGTATGTGCTTTTATCCAAAACAGATACATGACTCAATTTATCATCAGAAGTACTTCATTTCTGATGCCATCTTCTCATAAAAATATTGTGGATCAATAATTTTAAATACTATAGTGTATTACAGTGGTACTCAGACAGTACAGTTCAGAGCATTTTTGACTTAATGATTGCTATTTTCTGAAATACAGCAAAGACAAAAAAATTATTTAGAAGAAATGCAGGGGCATGATTGCAGGGGGATAATCTATATCCCTGAAATGAGGTGCAGCACGTTTCCATGAATGTCATTTAATGCCAAATCACAGGGGAGGTACCATAGACTCACAGAATCATAGAATATGCTGAATTGGAAGGGACCCATCAGGATCATCGAGTCCAACTCCTGGCCCTGCACAGGACACACCATGTGCCTGAGAGCCCAAAAGTCACACCATGTGCCTGAGAGCATTGTCCAGATGCTTAACTCAGACAGGCTTGGTGCTGTGACCACTTCCCTGGGAAGCCTGTTCCAGTGCCCAACCACTCTCTGGGTGAAGAACTTCCTGATGGTAAACCCCTGACTCAGCTTCAAGCCGTTCCATCCATACACTTGCACAGAAACCAGACATACAGAGTCACACAAAGTCTTCCTTTAACAAATCCACTGGGGCATTATGCAAGAAAAACAAGGATATATACTACACTATTATACAGATGACAGATGGCATTGGTTTAGATGCACAGTATTGTGTACGGACCAATTCCTGCCCATTTTTCTTCTTGACTGGGGTAAATGATACTATGACTCAATCCTTCTGTAAAGCAATTACACTGTTTAGATTTATTTCCTCAGTATTACTCACTGTTTGGGCAGAGGGGATTTCTAAATCAGGTGTCTTCCTAAAACTGTTGTATGAACCACACTGCAGAAATCAACACAGCTGGTAAAGTCCATTCATTGCATTGTTGAGCATAAAATGAGAGTGTATCCCTTACGGGGCACATAAATAATAGTCTCTGGCAAGGACTAGCATTTCGGATATTCAATAACATTTACTATTTTATCAGTATATGCTGGGTTGATTATATGAAGAAAACAACAAAAGCTGTTAGTTTAAAAATTCCCTTATTCACAAATGAAATACAATAAACATACTGAATGCAGAAAGGGTTTGCTTAGCATCCCCAGAAGAAAAAAAAGAAGTGTTCACATTCTTTAGGTCTGACCCGTGGCAAGGACATAGAAGGGTTAGATAACATCTGTTACTGACCATACGTAAGCTTTTAATGGTATAAACTCAGAGATCCAGACCAGCTGAATCCAAATTAAAATGCATGTGTAAAAAACAAAAAAGTGTGGCAGGAGTCAGGGAGAGAAGACATTCAGACTAGCATGTGGCGTTTCCTGTGAAGAGCGAGATGGTCCGAGCGAGAAAAGCTGCGGTCACAGTCTGGACACTGGAAGGGTTTGATTCCTGTGTGCTTGCGGAAATGCCGCGTCAGTTCATCAGAACGAGCAAACTTCCACGTGCACCCCTCCCAAGTGCATTTGTACGGTTTTTCTCCTGGAAAAGGAAACACAGAAGTGAGGATTTAAGATGTGAACACATCGGTTCTGATCACGCTAAATTCACACATAAATCTGAGAGATTCATTCTACTGCCTTGCTAAATTTCAGTAAGTACTTCAATGCTTACTCAAAAAGCCTCCAAACAGCTCAAAGCTGAAGAGTACTCTGTGCTAGAAACTGTGTAGTTGAAGTTAACTGACCAAAAAATTGCTACCTGCCACAACTTATTTTTTTATTGTTCCTCTCTCTGCCATATTAGCACTTGTTTTATATTATGACACCCAGAAGGATGAAGGTTTAAGCATTTCTCCAAGTATTTTCAAAAATGGGATCTCATTTTCTAGTTTGCTGGGGGAAAGGACTGTGCTACCATAAAGCACAACAGGCAGAAATCTTATGATTTCTAAAATTTATTGCAGTGTAAATGACTGGCATCATGGTTGCAAGTACCTCAACTTAAACTCTTTCTCTATCATTACTAATGTCATCCTCCTCCTTTAACACCTCTGTATTGCCCAACAGGTAAATGGCTGGCTTGATGCACAACAGAGATGAACTGGGCTCCAGTTTTCCTAAAAGAGGTACCCTTGTAAAAACCTTGGATGTATATACAGTCATTCAGCATGCAAAGATGAACATTTCTGTGGAGAGCAAAGATGGGGATATGTTTACTGAACACTCATTCAGATAAAAAGCATCACTGCACCAGTGGTTAGCATCTCCACAGAGCAGATGTGTTTGCATTTGGCACACAGTCCAAACTTCTGTAAATGGGCTACTCCCATAGAAATTACAGTCAAATTTAACAGTGATGTCATAGGTGAGCCAGTGCAATTTGAACTGATTTGGTGTTTGCAGGGTGTGCAGATTGAGTAAACTGCAAGCAACTGGACACAAAATGAGTGAAGAGCCAGTGAATGTAACACACATCAGCGTGCACTCTGAACCTGTTCTGGCTTACAGTCTCTTGTTGTAGGTTTTTCCTACTATATCCTCTGTCTTTTTCTCAGCCTATAATTATTTTCACAACAATGCCAGATCTACCTTCTGTCATTTTGTTATTTACACCTGAGGTCACCTGGCCATTAGCAGAAGTTACAAGCTCAGCCTATTTTACCACAGACTTGATGAAAGAGAAGCACAGCTATGCTCTGACCTGTATGGGTTCTTCGGTGAGCTTTCAGGTGGGAGCTTTTAGTGTAGACCTTGTTGCAGCCTTCATAATCACATCGATGTATTCTGCGTTTTCGTTGTGTGTCTGGGGATTCCACAGGTAAAGGTCTCTTTCCTGGCTGAACTATAACTGAAGGGTGATTCCTGCAAAGTTAAATTAATGTTAAAATCAAAAACATTTAGCACAGCAAACCTCAGCTAATATGATTCATAACAGAGCCTTTTATTCACTACCACTCTGTCTCTTGGCAGAAAGAACAACATTACATGCATGTCGAAAAATTCAACAGTGTTTAGCAAATTTTGTGTATTTTAGCAGTAATATTTTTAAATGTTTACTCACTTTGTGGCATGATGTAGCCATTTTTACTACTTCCTAGCTCCTTTTTAAAGCTTTCAGAGGAAAAACCCCATTCAACTTTGTGTTTTTCAGTCAAACCCAATTTCTTAACCCTGAGTGAACTTTTCTTGCATTTGTTCACTACTTTTTCCCCTTCAAATACAACTAATTTGATTGTAATTGGAAACAGCTATTCCATATTATTAAAGAAATTGTATCTTTAGGGTTTCAAAGCAGAACTCAATCTTTATTGTTCCAGCCACTCCTTTAGAATGTAATTAAGAATTTCCTGTTTGGTGCTGGCAGCAGGGTGCGGCCTCCCTGTACCACTGACGTCAATTCCTAAAAGTAGAGCTTAGCCTGTGTGGCACACCCACAGGATGTCTGAAGTTGTCCCTCCACCTTCTTAAACATAATTTTTCACTTTAGAAGCCCACAGGTACAGTGCAGGTAAGACATATATGAACTAAATGTGGACTTCTGCTGTAAACCAACCCATAAATGTTCATGTGTGCGAAAACATACAGGCTTCTTAAAAGCAGTCTTTGACTGTTGAATGACACCCCTACTGTAGAACGAGGACAACCTTGATTCTTTCTTCCACATCAATCTTAAAAAACTCATGTTTGTCAAAAAGGTACGTGTAGATTATAATGTGCAGATATTAGCATTCCTTGTTGCAAAGCCAGCTCCTCCATGCAACAGAACTTTCTAGAACTCTTGTCTGCTCTAAGTTAATGTATTTCACGTGTTTTTACCAATCAACTCATGTTTTGTAATACTGGGTTCTATTGGTTACTTACTCCAAGTTCCTTGAGGGCCTAATTTTCAGAAACATTGAATTCCTACTTCCCTCAGCAAAATAAAGGGCATGTGCTGAAGACAGAGAATCTTGTGCATGGCTTAAGAAGAAAAGATTTCTCTATGACCCCACAGCAGCAGGATGCGGATAACCGATGTGTGAAAACTTGAATTCTGTTACTGATTCTTTTCTTAAGAGCTAGAAGCTGGAAACTGGGAACCAAATTATCTTTCTTGGGTGGTTCTGTGACTGTTGGGTGATGTACTCTTCAAGTACACATTAAGTCTAGCTAAAAATATTATAATGGCAGGAAACCCCAGATGGTGATGTTAGACAGAGACACACACACTCTTAAATAAGAAGGCAGGGTTCTAGCTTCCAAAGAAACAGCTCTCCAAAGCAATGCTCAGTTTCAATGCAGTTGCATACCAGTCTTTTTGGAGAAGCTCAGGCTTAGGACAGAGAACAGACTTGGTCTAAATTATTATGTGCAGAGGCTAGTCCTGGACATGGTAACATCTGGGAAAAGGGAGAAAAAGGATATTGGCCATACACCATTTGTGATTTAGGTTTTCAATCTGCAAGTATCTGGAAAAAGCACTGAGAATGTCTCCTTTTCCCCTTATGGGAGAGGAGGCTGGCAAGACAACAGAATGTTATCAATAGTCACATAGGGTGTGGCAGTTTTAAAAAATGGTCAGGGTGGTGTCAAATTCAGAGGTAAATATTAAGTAAGTGCCAATAATAAAAGCACAGCCCTAATTCTTTCGTTCCCTCTTCCACAACTGGATGTAAGTTCATGTATGTACCATTTGGCACTATTCAATAGGTAAGAGTACCTTCTAAAAATTATATTAAAACTTCAACAGCTTTTTCTTCTTTACCACAGACCACACTATGCTGACAGCGTGAGTTAGACTTTGAAACTTGCATTAAGATATGTTTATGAGGCTCCTTATACTATTACCTCAAATTTGATTTCAGAAATAACTGCAGTTACTTCGACAATCAGACATACTAGAAAGTCCCACCATCCCCCCAGAAATGTCACCAACATTATTTTTATAGATAGATAGACAGATATAGATACCCAGATATAGACAGATATACTGCCAAAAGCTAATACTAAACCAAAATGAGTCACTTAAAAAGTCTTAAATAAGTCACTTCAGTGAGACTAAAGGTTTTCTATGCCCATTTAATGTGACTTAGGTGTCTGAACAGTACACTCTGGGCAACTGGAACCAAAGAATAGTGATAAAAAATTCAATGCCTAACTATAGCTCATAAAGCTGTGAGACAAAAACATTCTTTAAAAATAAAGGTTTAAGTATCTCATCTTATAACTTGTGTGAGTTGTCTATGTAATTTTTTTAATGATAAATGCAGTTTATAAATTTGTTTTGGACACAGCAGAATGTGAACTTGAAAGGGCTGGCTCCAGGAGCAAGAACTAGAGCTCCACAAGACAGCTTCCAGGCAATTTAAGCTGTTACAGTGCAAGGACAGAATCTCCATGAACATCACACTCTACATGGGCAAGCAGAGCTGATGCTTAGGAAACATGGACATACAAATGTTTTCTGTTACAAGCTATCTACATATGATACCAAATTTTATATTCTTTGCTCAGTGGATGGGTTTGCTGGGGAAACTACACCCATTGGGAAATAAATAATGCAAATCACTAATGCAGGTGACAAGCCTGCATAAGTCTCAGCCCTGGAGGAAGGGTGTGGTACCAGCCAGGAACAGCACTTACTGGTTTGCTCTTGTTAAAGAGACTTAACAAAGACAAAAAATAAACTGAACCATTTGATAGTCCTGACCTAGCAGCAGTTAGTTCCAGCTACATAAGGACCTGACTCCCTTGTGTGTCCATTATGGAAGGTAAGTTACTAACTAGTAAACATGCATGTTTACTATTTTGTGTAATAAACATGTATAAGGTGATTTAAAAGAAACAGCATATCATTTATAACAGCTTGCTGGCAGCCAATTGCCAAGAGCCTGCAGTCTAGGAGGTGCATCCAGACTGTTTGAAGACAAGGAGGGGTGCCCACAAGAAGGCTGCTGTGGAATGCAGCCAGCCCTGGTGCTGTGGTGTGCTTTTGAACCTCAGGGCCCTCTGCAGGAGGAAGAGGCAGCATTCTGGAGGAACTACACGAGACCACCCATCCATCCCATGCTTTTCTTTCTCTCTCTGAACCAACTCCCACTGGGTTTTGAGTGTCTGACTTGAAGCCCTCTTTCCCTTACTCTGTGAGGTGAGGTCAAACACAACCACCTCAAGGATGACAGTGAGCAAGAGGGAAGTGCAGAAATGGAGTGTGAGGTTCTATGCTGTGAGCCCTGCTCAGCTCCCACCTTCAGCTCCTGCCAGAGCCACGCTGGCAGCCTGCCTGCCTACCCAGGGCACTGCCTGCTGAAGGATGAGCCTGGCTCTAGGTCATTCCATGGTTTTAGTAAGCTGACAGGATTTTCCCCAGAAAAACAGGAAATGGAAGGGTGCCCATGGCTCCTCACGAGAGGAGAACTGAGAATTTTTTAATGTTTTCAATTAAAAGGTTTATGCTCCAGACCTAATTTCTTCTTCTAGCCCTTGACATTTCTTCTGCAAACAGCACTGTTTTAAAACCCATTAGATCTGTGACCCAGTTCATGCAGGGGCCCCAGTAACAGCTATGCCAGCACAATGAGTTAATACTGGGATGGAAAAAGTGGCTGTGAGGGAAGAAAGCTTCAGAAACTACTTGAGGTGCCAAAAAATCACCTACAGAACAATGGCCTCAGGTAAAAATGCAATTTCACTGATATACACAGGACTTGTAAGGCTGAAGAGGTTCTTCCCACCAAGCAGGCAAAATTTTTAATAAGACAAAGAGGTCCTCCAAGAAAAGAAAGTCACAACACTCATTTTAAAGAAAGGTATTTCAAGTAACATGAATAGAGATACCAGTATGAACTGTCTCTTAAGTTTCTTTCAATTTTGCTGCTGGTTTTACATAAGTAGGTTATCACTGGCTAATTGGGAGTCCTCCTTTCAGTAAATTGTGGAATTGTAACCTATCATCATTTTAGAAATGCAGGACAGAAATAGCATATCTATTGCAAGGTATAAATATGTATCAACTCCTGTACTGCTGAAGAAGGGGGAAAAGAAAGTTGAAATCACGTTTCACAGTGGCAGTGGTGGGAGGGATGAATGTGTGTTTTATTACACACTCTAAAGCACAGCAACAATCTTTCCCACTCCTCAGAACTGCTACCTGCTGTAGTGAGCTGCTTTCCATTGCTCTGCTGATCTTGGGAGCACTGTTAGCTACTTACTCTTGCAACATTACTTGCTGAGGAGACAATGAGGTCATCATTGGAGGTGACATTTGTTCAGGATAGAAGTCAGTCTTTGATGGTTCACTTCCTGGCTCTACTTTGATTGTTTTCTTCAGTGTGGGCTTCTCGTAAGACTCAATGACAGGCACTGTATGGCAGAAGGGAGGAGAGGGAAGGCAACACATAAAAATTATGAAGAGTTATGGAAATAAATAATATACAGAAAACCCCTATAGTTAAAACAAATCCATCAGTTCTACATTTACTGTGACAATACAAAATTTTTCAGTTTTAGTTATCTCCTGATAACTATGACTCAAAACATTTCTATTAATTTTCATCAGTCTGATGTTATTATCAGTCCAAATCTCAGTAGATCAATAGTTTATGTAGATCCAAACAAGAGTAATGGAGCTGGTGAAGGGTCTGGAGAACAAGGCCTGTGAGGAGCAGCTGAGAGAGCTGGGATTGTTTATCCTGGAGAGAATGAGGCTCAGAGGAGACCTCATCACTCTCTGCAACTGCCTGAAAGGACAAGAGGAAATGGCTTCAAGGTGCACCAGCGGAGGTTTAGTTTGGACATGAGGAAGAATTTCTTCCCAGAAAGGGTGATTAGACATTGGAATGGGCAGCCCAGGGAGGTGGTGGAGTCACTGTCCCTGGAGGTGCTCAAGGAAAGACTGGCTGTGTCACTCAGTGCCATGGTCTGGTTGGAAAGGTGGTGTTGGGTCACAGCTTGGACTCTACGATCTCAGAGGTCTTTTCAACCTAATTGATTCTGTGATCCTATGACCTTGGTAAGTCTGGTAAAATATTTACACAACAAATTCTATGCCTGTTTATTCTGGAAGAACAGAAATTACTTTCCACTTCCTAAAATATCAACAACCCACAGAAACCAAGTGCTTGGATATTTATCTTATTTTGTGGAGATGAGGTAGCATAAAAAGCAATTCTGACAACACTGACCTTGCATGCTACTTGGAGTTTCCATATCATCTGGGAGAACTGTGGACACCATGATGGGCTGCTGGAGATGGGGAGCATACATGAAAGGAACTGGCTGGACCACAACAGGCTGTATGACCGGGAGTATCCCAGGGCTCCTGAGTCCATGGCGTGAGAGAGCAGCGGCCATTACAGGAGGGATTGTTATTGGCATGGAAAGAGGCTGCACTCCTGGGGGTGACGGTGTGAATTTACTGAGAGGTGAGCTGGGGGAGGACAGAGTCAATCCAGGTGAACTTCTCCTGTGCACAGTCTGAAATTTCAGTGGGGAAGGAGAACTTCCAGTTGAAGGCGGCGAGCTCCGTTTATTTACTGTAAGGTCCACTGGCTCCATCTGGATCCCATTTGATAGTCCTTCAGAGCTGGAGTAGAATTTATTGTGCAACATACTTGGTGTAGAATAAATGACGCCGTATTTGTTTGGCTTCATTTGGTCCATGTAATTGGATGGGTATGACTGTCAGAAGGAGTGGAAAAGAAATACAGAAAATCAAATAATACATCAACACATAGAAGCAGCTACTGCTGAAAAAGAAAGGCAGCCAATAAAACAGGCAAAATGAAAAAGTTTCAAGAAAGCACTTTTGATGCAGTTTCTAAATAAAATGGAATTAAATAAAGCCTCAGATTCCCCACACAGGAAGTTCAGTTCTGATTCACTAACTGTTTCAGAAGCAAGTAAGACAGATTATGAAAACAAATCTTCAAGGCTTATTCAACTACTTTTTCCCTTTAAAATTGCCTGTCATGTATTCATGCCTGCACATTTCTTAACTGACCTGGGAGATAATCTGCTATGCCAAGCATATAACTGTGTGCTGAGGATCATCAATTCTGGAAACAGGGGAGCTCAGCTGGGCTTAGAACTGCAAGTAATGGGTCCCAATCAACTGCTAAAGTAATTGAAAAACAATCACCACTAAAGAAGAAAATTATGAATTTGAACCCTACAATCAATACAAAATACTCAGCTGAACTATATAAGTAATGGGTGAGTAACTCAAAAGTGCAAAAGGTAAAATCTAAACCTTTCTAAATGATTTTTTGAGATATAAAGCCGTTAACAAGCCAGTGTAATTTTGGAAAATGAGTACAAGGATAAACATTTGGTGTGCTGGAAGAATAATCCTGTTAGTGGTAGCTAGCAGTTCCCATTACAATATAAACCCCAAAGCGAATCTTGGCTATGTGACGATCTCCACAATTTAGTTATAATTTATATATTTAAATATAGATACGTATGTATGTACATATGTATTACAAAAGTAAAACACACATATCTAGTGATTTTTGTAAACCCAGAAGTATTAACATTAGAGTGCAGTATTATTAAACAAATATCCAGACCAATACTGTATTTAAAAACTGATGTTGTTTACTAACTGCTAACTCACAATGGAAACTGATGTGATGCTCTAGCACAGCAGTGAGACAAAGAAAATGCAATGGACACAATTTTTTAGCTGTGTTGTCAGCTTTTTGAAATAAAATGTTATCTTTGGATTTCAGGTGGGTAAACTAATATTAAGAAACTAATTACTTCTTTGGCACCAAAAGTATTTTGATGAGTGGGATTAAAAAAATGTTCAAAATGGTATAAAGTGAAACATCAGAAGCATAAAACCATTGTATTTTTATAAAATTATTTCCATAACGTTTCAATTCTTTTTCTTCCTGGGGTGAACACTTCTGTCAATACATCTTCCTGGTTTCCTACCTCTGTCTTCCCTGTGAGGAAACACTTCATTTTAAATGTCAATGGTAATGGGAGGTATTTTTGCAAAATGACACAAATATAATTTTCTTCTTTTCAGTTACTGTTTGAAACACTGAGTTTAAAAAATATTAAATTTTCCTCCTGCATTCGTAGCACTGTGATAGAACAACAAAGCTGAGTCCCTCAGTCCATAAAACATTCAAATAAAGCAGCACACAAAATGGTGATTAATCTTCGACAGTAAATATTACATTAAAATCTCTGCAAGTTATATATTCTCTTTATGACTATTCTTACAAATTCCATCTATAGAAACATTCATCTTTGATGGTAATTGGTTCATCAGAATTTTATTAAATGCCATTATTGCAAGAAGTACTGTCTGTAGACTTGCCAGAACTGCTGAGCCAAGCTATGAAATTATCAGCATTCTAAGTGATGGAGACCATTAAATATTGATATAATTTAATATTTAACAGCATTTGGTATCTATTAAATTGGATCAAATTATGGGCATACCCAAAAAAATTTAACAGGTAAGGAACATTAAATACTTCTGTTAAAACTCCTGTTATTGGTTTACAGTAGAGTTCACCCAGCTTTAACGAACCGTAAACATTCCACCACTAAGCATCAGTGCATTTACAGTGCTGCAGGTTTGTCAGGGATGATCACAATGTCACTGCCTACGAACTTCTCTTCCATTGCAAGAATGCTAAAAAGGAAAAAGCTTGTCAAATGTAAATCTCCAGGAATGCTTTTGGCCAATGAGTCTATTAAAGAACAAGCATCCCTAGCTGTATCCTTATCCTGAAAACCCCTGGTGGGAATTCAAGGAATAAGTGTCTGGATGCTCACAGAGCTTCTGTATTCTTCGATGGGGAGTGATGACGATTGTGATTGATTCTGGTGCACAGCCTGCAAAAGGGTAGAAATGATGCTGGAGACTGGACAAAAACTGTTTATTCCAATTCAAACAAAAAAGGCACTTGTTTCATCAAATGGTAACTGGTCCAAATGTTTTAAAAGTCCTTTAAAAAGTCCTCACAGCAAATAGGGAGTCCTGTAGGTAAGACATGGGTGACTTTGTCAGTGGTTCATTAGGAACTATCATAATATATGTTCAATAATTCATTTCAATAAATGGCATGAGCTGTTGGTAGAGTGATGAAATAGTGTGGGTGCAAGCTTCAGTCACCTGAGAATATAGTTAATCCTTTCAGCCACACACCCTGAAATACAGTGGTGTCAAAACCATTACTAATTTCCTCCTACCCCTCCAACTACTGTGATGTTTTAGAGACACAAAGACTTCACACCTACAGTGTAAAGAGTACACCTACATTCAGAGAGAAGAGTGAGATATTCCCAAGAGGCTTAATTTAATTTGGCCTCTAATGATTCTACCAGAATGAAAGATGCAACACAAATAATCGTGATTGCAGATTTCCTAGTTATGTTAGCCCAGTCTGCTCTGCTTAGCATCTCGCAATGTCAACATGACAGTTTCTCTCTCATTCCGCCTCCTCAAAAGGTGTTCAAGAAAACTAACTCACTTTCTCATTTTCTCTCCACATCACAATACCTCCCTTTAGAGGTGTCTCCAGAGCAGTTTCTGTTGTGGCACCAGGGTTCCAAGGAAGCCACAAGACCAAGAAGGGCTGGGGAGCTCAAGGGTTTGGGGCTAAGCAGCCTCTGTGTGCACAGAAGCTGAAACACACATGGTCCTCAGCCTGAGGGAAAACAAAGTAGTGTCCAGTGATGGAAACTTCACTCAGAAACCATACTTTCCTCTGGACTTTCTGCTTTTTCTTTTCTGCTTTTTTTCCCCTCATGCAATGGCAAAAAGAAAAACATACAGATGTGGTAAAATGCTCTGAGTAGTCTTTAACAGCTGGTCAGAGTGATTACACTGACTTATGAGAAGACTCCAAAGGTCCAACGCCACATGCCATGGAAGGCACCACATCACTGGGAGAAGGATATGGTACAGAATAACCAATATCTGGAACTCCAGCCTTGAAATGCACTTGGCTCAGAAACACTCCCTTGTTTTTCCCACAGCAGTTTTTCCTTCATCTGTTGATCTGGGAAAGACTGCTCACTCCTCTGCTGGTGAGCTTTTTGAGGGACTGACCTTGCCCATCTGGCAGAAGCACACAACTGCTTGGGGCACTTGTGTGTCTTGTGCAGAACCCCAAACCATTGCAGAACCTTCTTTGGGAGATGAAGGCAGATGTGCACAAAAGGTGACCCAAAAGACAGCAATGACACTTCTGTAAAACTGGCCTCTTTTCTGATTTCAACAGACACCATTAATAATCTTAGATTATAGCAGATAATCACCACTAATCTTAATACAGTTACACTGTAACTGTAATTAAAGTGACAGGCTGGCCAATACTAAAATTCTTTCTTGACCCAAATATTGGAATTTGTCATACTTTCAGTGACAGTTATTTTTCTATCATTACTCTTCAGCAAATACAGCCCACAAAAGTCAAACTGTAATTTTGAAATGGATATAAACTTAACTTCCAGAAGTGCTGTTAATAGCCCTGAAGAAATCAGACGGCTTAGAGATGCATTTAAATTTATGAAAATTACTCTTTATTTTAAATAAAACAGGAAACAATATTTTCACTGAAAGATGCCATTCAAAGCACAAGTTTAATGCACTCTGAGTTATGTACACTGACTTCACCCTTTTAATGGACTGGACTTTCTAGGGGTGTGGCTTCATGTTACACTTAATCTGTTATTGCAGGCTAAAAGCTGAGAGGGGAGGTTCTCTCATGCTCCTCTCTCTCCCCTTGCTCTAACATTGAGCAGCTGCACAGAATGAGTCAGATCAGCTTCCTGATCTGACCAAAAATGAGTATTTTTGGTGGGTTAGCAATTCTGACTATTCAGTGAGCTGATCCAAAGGTTCCAAATCATTCTAGGACCACACAGCTCTTCAGTCACGCAAAGGAGACACAAAGCTGGTGAGGAGGGAGCAAGGTCAAAGCCTTTCCTTTCAGCCTATATCATCACAATTCTCACTGTACTGCTCCCACCTACATGTCCCACTGCTGTTGCTTATTAGACTTTTCTCTGAGATGACCCTATTCTCTGAGTTCATGGAAAATTAACCCATTTTTAAAGAAGTAAAAAGTGTAAGTAAGAGGAATGTCTCCTCTTCCCCTTTCCCCCCGCCCCCGTCCTAGTTCTCATTTGTTCACTTGGTAAAGCAGTGCAACCAGTTTACCCAAAAAAGCTGGGTTGGTTTGGGTTTTTGTAGGATTAATTTCCTGCTGTTTAGAGCAGAGCTAGCCACAGGCACCTGTTACCACAACCAAGAGAAAAACAAAAAAAGGCACAGCAAGAAGCTGTTCACTTAGTTCAAGGGTGTAACACTGAAACCACAGGCCATTGCCACTTCACCATGAAGCGTGGCAACTTAATTTGAGCCCACCTCCATGAGTAGCATGAGCCACAGAGATGATATTTACAGAGCAGTGGCTCAGGAACACAGGGATGCTCCCTCCTCTCATAGGCAACTGCTCAGGTTAAGGCAATAAATTCATAAACTACAGAAAGTTCTCCCAGAACGTGAATCTGATTGCACTAAGAGCAAAATAGAGCTTCACATGCTTTCCTAACCTAGTCCAAATCTTAATTACATCTCATTATGAATTTAAAGGTGGAAAAACTAGAGAGTCATCTTTAGGGCTAATATATTTGAAAAGTCTTACCACTGAAACAGGTTCCATGGCTTCTTGCTTGATAGGGACTGGGTCAAACATTAGCATCTTTTTTATTCACCTGTTCTGATGCCTCTGAGTTTCTGTCCTGCTGGGGAAAGACAAGGTATTAGAAAGCCATGGGAAATACCCAAATCAACTTTCTGAATTGTAGAGAATTTACTAGTTTGTCAGATTAATGTGAATATTTATCCATCTCTAACAGAGATTTTTAAATCTTTGAATTTATTGCAAGATTTTTCTTTCCAAATTACTATTGAAACAAAGGGACATCTGTTCACTTTAAATGAAAGGCAAATTGAATTTTGTTGTGCATGTCAGCACACCAAGACCACAGAATTTTCACTTTCATTAGCTGTCAAGTGTTTTAACACATCAGAGTTTAGACCACACATTTCTCATCAGCATTACAACCTCAGAATAATCTTGTTTATACAAGTGAACTGATTCTGGAAAGGATCTTTCTTTCCTAAGAGTCCTAACAGAAACACTCAATAGATCACATACAGTGACACTGTTATCAATGCCAAAAAAAAGGATTAAAATTCAAGACTAACTCGGACTACATTCAACGTGCTACAATGACTTAACAGAGAAAATGCACCAGTTACTAGATATTAGTTATTATCAAGATAATAGATCAGTTATTAAATAATAATAATAATAATAATAATAATAATAATAATAATAATAATAAAGATAATAGTTATTATTAATATAATAGATTTACTGACAATTCAACAACTTTTTGTGCTAACAGCACAAAATAAAAGCACTTTAAAAAATCTGCTTGCATTCTGTGCAGTTTCAGGATTTTTTTCCTGTAGTGTTCAACCTTACTTGGCCAATCCCTAAATGCCTGAAATAAAAGTATTTAGCATAAAGCATGTCATAGCTCTCATACTGCACATTTGCCATGGTCATCTTGGAAAGATACTGGGAGGGAAAGGAGATACCCATTCTGGGTAAAGCCATAAGGGCACACAATGAAACTAAGTGGGAGCAAAGGGAATTTGCTCACAATGACATTGAGATGTTGCCAGGCTGTTTATAAATCACTCGAGGTTATACATTATATGACTGATGTCCAAGGAGCAAGCTCTGACCCTACCCCGCAGACTCCACAGCCCTGCCTGGGGGCGGCACGACCTGGCTCAAGAGCGAGGACAGAAGCAAATGACACAAATTCAATGTGGCCGGTAGATGGCACTGGAAAGGAGCGAATACAGCCGGACTCCAGCACCGGCAATTCACCCCCTTCAGCAGCACAGGCTGAAGGCTCACCAACACATTTGTACCTGTGGCTGGGAAATTCTCCCAGAAATGTAAATGAATATTTAAAGATGGACCTGCTCAAATTAAAACAATTCTAATAGGCCTATGCTAATGAACAATTCTGCAGTTAACAAGTGTTTATAGATCAAAATTTGTTAAGAGAGACAGCAGGAGTTGTTACAAGTCTACCATTAGTTATTCAGGTACATAAATAAAGTTTAAAGACTTCTGGAAATATATTACAACAGTGTGAGCTTTGAATAATGGAAACAAACAAGTCTCAGAGTAAATTATAGTATCTTCATAATTTACCTTATAAAAGTTGAAGGCCTGACAAAAACAAATTGCAAAACTAAAGTGAAACAAATGATGCAGCTAAATGAAATTTCCAGTTTAGTATGTAGTTTTAGTTTGGGAGCAGTGGTGTAAGATAGCACTATGTGCTGAAAGTTGTGGTAATTCCGTAAATACCTTAAGCATGTTCGTGAGAAGATTCTTAATTATACTATTTTCTTTGAATGGTTATCATTTAGATAACTGTTACCTAGTTATCTTTCTCAGGTTTCAACAAGTCACACAGCTAGAACTAATGTTTCAGAATACTGACTTCCCAGAAATATGTCCACATATCTCTGCATCACCCATATTCTCACACATTCATCTGCACTGTGGAAACAGAGAAGTTGTGCTTTTAGACATGAAAAAAGCTTACAGTAAAATGGAGCCACTCAGAGCTCCTATATAGGAATTTGGAACTAATCCCTTTCAGCTTTCCAGAAACTTTTGATTTTTAGCTTCTATGTGCATAGATAAAGTAACACACCAGTTTGTACTTTGGTGAAGGAAGAAAGGAAAGAAAGAAGAGAAATAGAGGGAGGGAGGGAGGGAGGGAAGAAGGAAGGAAGTGTCGGAAGGAAGTGTCGGAAGGAAGGAAGGGAGGGAGGAAGGGAGGGAGGGAGGGAGGAAGGAAGGGAGGGAGGGAGGGAGGGAGGAAGGAAGGAAGGAAGGAAGTGTCGGAAGGAAGGAAGGAAGTGTCGGAAGGAAGTGTCGGAAGGAAGTGTCGGAAGGAAGTGTCGGAAGGAAGGAAGGAAGGAAGGAAGGAAGGAAGGAAGGAAGGAAGGAAGGAAGGAAGGAAGGAAGGAAGTTTGGTTGTTCTAAGTGAATGCAATGATGCTCATCCTTTGTGTAATTTTTGTAACTCTAAAACTGTATTTTCTTCAGTTCAAGAATTACTCATTCTAATCTTTTGCTCCAAGAAAGTGTGTGAAAAGACACTTGATACACATTTCACGTGTCATGCTACAGATTTCAGTGTTTCCTGTGATAGCTCTAAATCACTGTGCAGGAATTAAATTGACACAGACAACAGGAAGTGCACTACCCTGAACAAAAGTGAAAAGTAATTCTCAATCTTTCCCAAGTGCAGTCATCTAAGAACAGCAGAGGAAAACTTTACTTTTATGTAAATTTACTATGCTGAACCAGACTACAGGAATCATATCATATTACTTTCATTACATATCACTTTATCATATTACTCTTAAGCAGGTTTCTTTTTCCCATTTTATAGTCACTGGAAACCAATTTTCAAGAACAGAAAATTAATTAAGATGCAACACTTGGTCCTGTAGGACTGCTACAGTGTCAATACAAGTCAGCTTTGGATCTGGCATTTAAAATTTAGCTCAAAATGATGTATTTCTAAGGCTGTGTATAAACTCACAAAAGACTCCTCTTTGTATTTAAAAACAATGCTCCAAATTGATAGCTTGGACCACACTCGTGAGTAAATATGTGCATGTACACTCACACACAAATAAAGCATGGTACTACTAAGAAGCAGGTAGTTTTCCCCAGTATATTTGTAAAATCATGCCTATTAACTCAAAACTTCTCAGTCTTTCTCTCCTAAACATTTGAGAAGGGGGCAATAGGGAAGGTCAATAGTCTTATCTGTTTCTATTACAGAGGAATGAAAAAACAGTTGGGTTCTACTTTACAGAGTGATTTCAGAATCTACTTGTATGAAGGTCTGCAAACTGTTTAGTATATACAAATAATTTCTGGAAAATCAAAATACCATCCCTCATTCCTGAGGTGCTCAGGAAAAACTGGTGAGGTGACAACAACATATTCATGTTAAATGTATTAAAAATAAGAACTTCTGTCTTTGACTTTATTAGGTAAACTACTTTGCATTAAAGGGTTTTCTCATGCGAGTTAAAAGAATTTAATATGAATGTAATCTGAAACTAAATAATTAACTGCAATCCAGTAAGCAAACATTCCACCCTCTTTTTTTTTTTTGCTCTCCCTCTTTTTTTCTGCTAACAAGCCACCCAGTTTTACTTTCTTGCCTCCTCCCTTTCACTCCACCCAGTGGATCTCTGCCAAGTCAGTCCAACTTGTCCAAACAGGACCTGGCTTTTGATAAGATTTTGCTCACACCCTGTACTTCAGAAAGACAAATGAAGAAACTGGGTTTTGTATGCAAATAGGGACAGGTGCAAGGTAAAGTCCAGGCAAAGTCCCTCAGTATTCCCCTATCTGAAGTCCAGTGAGGACAGCAAGCCAGAAACAACACAAATTCTGTCTTTGTGATCCAGTATACAGCAAGGCATCCATTCCAGGAGGGAAGTTAATTATCATTAGAGCTCATCACCTTGTCAGGATTGAACACTTGTCAATATTAACTTCCTGACAGGTGTATGGTTTATTGTTTCAGAGACATAATTAAGATTAAATGAAAGCTGAAAGGTACTCAAACGTGTATTCTGACAATATGGATTATTTACCCTGGATGAAATGTGCAAAGTGGTTAAAGAATGCACTCAGACTTCACATCTGCACTGCAGAGCAGCTGGAAAAGGGCAACTGCAGTGCAGCTACTCCCAGCAGCCCTGCACATCTACCTTCAAGGTCCACCAACTGCAGACCTGTTATGAAAGGAAAGGGTGGGGTGGAGGACCAGTTTTGACTGTGCACGTCCAACAACAAAGGTTTGTTCTAATATAAAGCCTGTGCTCTCATGAAATACCTGGAAGAGCAGCCCATGACTGACTTTTGCTGCAGACAGGGGTGGTGACCATACACTCTGCCCCTCTTCACTCTGCCTGAGAACATATACCGGGTTATTTCCTCAATCTTTGTGCCCGGAGGAAACAAAGAAATGCTGCCCCATGCACAGCAAGTTTTTGTCTAGAAGCTTCAAGGTATGATTGTTATTGTCAGTATAATTACAGAAAAATGTAATGGTATCTGCTAAATTAGCACTGCATGAGTGCCCTCTGCAAGGAACTGCAGCTCCTGCAGCACTGTTTGAATCCAGCAGCAAACATTATCACACTGCTAAAGCTCTTCAGTCCAAGCACTCTGGGACTCAGACCTGTTGCTCTGAACCTATGATTTCTGTGAACCTCAAGCCAAACTTCCTCTGATACAAGGGAGAATCAATAGTACCAGAGGATTCTCCACTGATGAAATCCAAAAGGGAAGGGAGGTTTTCTGAACCCAGGTGAAAAGCTGTCTTCAGTGGAACCTCCAAAGAGTTTGACAGAGAGGAACCAGTTTCTGAGACAAACATTCCCTGGAGAAGGTAAAAAAGCTGATTTCCAGAGCTCATAAGGTATTTGCACTTTACTGTACCAGTTGCTCATCAAGACCTGAGTCAGCAAAGAAGTGTTTCTAATGTTCCATTAATTTTAATGGGAAGTAAGCAAGTGCTTAACTGCACTTGACCCTAAAATAGCACAGACAAAGAAGCTCTCCAGCTCAGCCCAGCAGTCAGACTCAGCCAAAGCACCAAAGGTCCAGACGTGGTGCTGTGGGGAGAGACCAGAGCAGCCAGACCATGAGGAACAGAGCAGAAGGAGAATCAGGAAGAACGAGCATGCCAAGAAAATGTTCTACTGATCAACAGCTTTCTGTGTTTATTTGCTGGATTTCCACTGGGTAACAATAATAATTGTTGAAAAAGTTAGAGTATTTTGTAAAAGAAAATGGTACCTAGGCAAAAATTTTCTCCTCAAAGTTTTATTGATAGGCATTAAGAAAAAGAGCATTTCTACAGAATTCTGGTATTGAGTATTTCAAACTCCATTTGTTTCTTAGCAAAGACTTGAAAATCTTTCATCTTCCTCCTTTCAGGACTGCAAGGAGGCTGAAAAACCTGTGGTTTGTACAACTTGTGCATCATAACTTTGTTGATGCCACCTTTTTTGACCTGGAACTGCTTTGACATGTAGCTGACCAACTAGTACTTCAATTAAATTTCTGCTAATACTGTTGCAGGCTTTTTGAAGCCATGTGTCTGGAAATGGCATTCTTGTATGTAAAAATCTCGGGAAAAAATGTTCTTGAAGTGCTCGTTAAGGAAATATCTTCTTTACCAAGGAAAAATTGAGCCCATGTAAACCCTGTTCAACCTTCAGTTCTACACTCACTGAACCTAAGAGGAGAACCTCTTGAGGAACCTCCATTAGACAATATTCTCCCTTATCAGGGCAGACTGCTGTCTGGTTTCCTGTCTCAAGCTACTTCTTAGAAGGAGAAACAGTCTAGTAAGGATAAAAGATCAGACTTCTGAAAACAAATGAAGTATGTGGAATGGTATGATAATCTTTCCCTTCCAAACTGAGCTTCGCTTTTCTTGTTGTGTTTTTCTTAAGAGGTTAATTTTTAAGATAATTTGAAAAGAGAAATATTAAACCTTTTAATTGTGAGGGGAAAATGACAGAAAATACTGTTCTCTTATGAGAAGGGTTCTGCTATTTCAGGAAACATGAAAAAGAGATTCAACATTTTAATAGCATGGCAAAGAAAAGAAAATCTAATCCTAAAAAAAGGAAGTATACATTTAAGAATAACAGCCTAAATTATAGATTTGAACAAGAATCCAAATACAGGGCAAATGGTGATGAACCTCTATGAACCTATGGGAATTAAAAAAACCCCAAAACAAGCAGGAAAAAGAGCTGGACAGTGTAGTGAGCACAAACGTGACAGTGATCAAAGTAACTTAGACTCTTAAAAGAAAAAGTGGAAACTCTGTCATGTCTTCATGGATCAAGCTGGTTGGGTGGTAACACACACGGACTGCATGACAGACAGACCATGCGTTTGGTGGGAGGGTTTTTCCCTTCTGAGTTAGTTTACTATTTAAAACCTGTTGGAGCTTTGTCTTTCCATTTGGCTGATCTACACTTACACTTTCTTCCCCTGGGAGATATCACCTACAGCTACAAAACCCTCAAAGGAAGCTTTGGCATCAAGTGACTGCTTCACAGGGAAGAGTTAAAGCTCTCCTAAAACCAGCTCTGCCAAACTTCATATTCTGGATTGGAAGCAACTAGCCTCGGAATGAAAACACAAAGATTGAATGCTGACAGCATAAAAGAACTCTAAAAGACCTCCTGTTAGCGGTGTTAATTAATATTTAAAAGTTGGTTTACAAAAATTATTGTAATTTTAACCTCAGTTCCCTATTTTACAGAACTTCTGGCTACAAAAAGGTGTGAACCACAAAATTTACTGCATTTATTATACAGCAGTTTCCAATATTAAACACAGTTAAATGCAACTCTTTTCCTCTGTCACTGGGAAAAAAAGATTAACTGTTTGAAATCTTGGGCAAATTAACAGTACAAGAATTAAAATATATAATTGTGTTCTAATGGGTAAACTCGTCCATGGTGTTCTAAAACAAACAGAAATAACAACAAAATAAAAACAGCTGGGAGCAACACATTAAAATAATCAATAAACAACTTACCAAAACGGTGCAGCCAAATACTTCTTTTTATCTGGATTTCTGAACAGACAAAAAAGAGTTTGCTGTTAATTATGTGCACACAGTCCAATAATTATTTTTTTCCACATACAATTAAGCTCTGAAAGAAGTTTAAAGTGTGTACTTAGATACTTCCTAAAGATACCTTCAGTGATCTCAAATAGCTAACTTGTAGCATCCAGAAGAGCAAGAGCAGGAACTAAAAGACTACTTTAAAAATGACTGGAGGGGAAAAAAAAAGAGGAAAATGAAAGGGTGGAAGTAATTCTGTGTGTACAGTAACCATGCATATATTCCAGGCCATAAGAAACACAGAAGAATAAATATCATGCATTTTCATCCAGGGCACACTGAAGTTAATGCAAGTTTTTCTCTCTATTTCAGTGAGCTCTGGCCCTTTAGCTCTTCGGTCAAAGTAACAGAAATATTTATGTTTTTCTCAATTTCCTCTCAATTTCTCACTATGTCTGCCTGCAACAGGGTGAGGGGGAAAGATAAATATAAAAACAGGAGTAAAACAATTACTTTTATGCCTTCAAAATGTAAAATGTGGGACAGCAGTACTTGTTAATGTCAAAGAAAAGTTAGACAGCAGTGCCTCATTTTCTGTATTACATCTGGAAGACAATGAACCTTCTAGCCTGCATAAGGGGAAAATACTAACTTCTTTTGAGATTTGGAAATACAAAGTGCTCATAGTGAGCCGTTCAGGTTGAGCAAGGGCTGAAGTCAAAACCCTCTCATAACTACAAGCCTACAGAAGTGGTCTTTTTTCTCACATACACTCTTTATACATCAGTGCTACTCTGTGACTTTAATGGAGCTATTCCAGATCAGCTGATGAGCAAGTGAGAGCAGAAAACTGGCTCACAACTTTCTGGAGACCTGAGTTCAAGTTTTCAGCGAACAGAGCTCAGAACTCCAGCTCACCCCCAGAAGCGCATTGGAGTGGAAGGGGCGTGTTAAAGGTTAACTTGGAACCCTCGTTATGACATAACACAGGCATCTTAAGCAATCCCGAGTGTGTAGAGACGTGATAACTCATCGGGTGGGGATTGGGAGTTGAGGGGCAGTGACAAGGGGCCTGGGCAGGCTACCGAACTGCCAGAAAACAGCCTGAAACAGGAAAGAGCACCACATATGCCACTTGGAATGTGTGACGCAAACCCCAGCCTTGAAACAAAGAACAGGAAACAGCTCTGCTGGCTGCGCTGGGGAGAAAGCACAGAGAAACATTTAGGCGGCCCTCCCTGACCCTATATTCATGAGCAGCTGGAGTCCTTTAAAACAACAACAGTGGGTGGAGGTGTTTGTTCATTGGGTGTGAATAAAAACACTGTCCTGATGCAGGGGACCTGCCCTATTTACAAACAGGCTCCCTTAACATGAGGGAGCAGGAGATTTTAAGACACCACAGGTCAGGAGGATTTGCTGAAACCTTCCCTTAGACCAGGTGGTTTATTACTGTATTTATGCCAGTAGCTAAACAGAGTTCTGGCCTCATGACATCAGACGCAGCACTCAGCCTGGCAGAAGCACCTTCTTCCCAGAGAGCTGGGGGATGAGAATTGCAGGAAGGATTTCTAAAGCTTGGGGCTGCTCCTGGACAGTGGGTCACTCACACTCAATACTGCTCCATAGCTGAGCACCAACGTCACTCACAGCACCCAAGAATATTTTTCTAAGCCATTACGTGCTTAGCCTAACACATCCCTGTTTTCATTGCACTCAGACTTCACTTCAGAATCTGATTTCCCATGAATTTACTACTTTTATTTTTGAAGCGCCCACATAAAAAGCTGAGTAAGTGATGCTGAAGCAGAGGAATAGCACAACTTGTCTAGATTTCATGCAGTAGAATAACTTCAACACTTGTTTTCCTTCAAAGCTGTGGGTTCAAATACTCTTTCTTGTCTTAGATACCTTGCATCAGTAATTTATACACCATGGGTGGGACATCTAATATTATCAAATGTGAGAATGTTACAGCAAATTAGGGGATGAGTACCACAGCAACACCAATGAATGCTGTGGGGTTCCAAGGCTGGAGTTTAATAATGAACACGGGGTAAAAACTGGCTAGTACAGCACCTACACAGCAAGGTGCGAGTTTTATGCCGATATTATCAGTTCCTTACTTCTTCATACTGAATAAGTGCAAATACAGGTAATTTGGTGATTGTATAACATCTTTATTATCACTGAGTCTTCAACTCATCTCACTCACACATCTTTATTTATATGAAGGCTTCTCTTTTGGCTACACAGATGGTGACTGGGTCAAACGTTCACAGTACCTAAGGGCTCCCTCGCAGCTCTGCAACTTGGAGGAAGTTTTGCTTGGATTCTTAGGACAGGGAAAGACCATTTAGCATTCTTGCCTGCCTCCACCCCTCACCCTTACCCCCAGTCTCTCTTGTGATCTGTACCACAGCTATAACAGCATGTGTAGAAAAAAAAAAAAAAAAACAGAAACATTTGCCCTTGTGAAAAAAAGGCTACTCAAGTCAGCTTTGGGTTTTTTATATTTCAATACTAGGTAGTAACAATAAATTCCTAAAAATACAAGGTGAAAAAAGCTAATCTGAAATAAGTGTCTTCTGGGTCAGGTGAGATTATCAAATCCAGATATAAGTCATCTCCCACAAGCACCAGCTGCTCATACGATTATCACACCGGTATCTTAAAAGTATTTGATGGAAAGTCACTAGTCAGAAGACATGCAAGTCCTTCTTTTCAATGCAGGTAATGCATATTTATGAATATTAGTTTAAAGGAAGTCAAGTCTTCAGAGCTCTCCTATGGGCTACTCAAATTCAGCTTTTCCCAACAATTAAACCTTCAGAGTTCAGTTCCACAAACAGCGACACTTCCTGAATTCTCAAAGGCGAGGAAGTGAATAAAACAGTGGACCACGCATGTACAGTACCTGAAGCAAAAGGGAAGTGCACAGAACATCTTTAAGGTATTTTTTAATGTAACTCCTGAATGACCACTTAAGCTATTCTGCACTAGGTCTTTCTCCCGAGCTCCAGACAGGTGCTGTGCTCTCCCAGCGCAGGCTCGCCTTGCTGAGCCTTCCTTTGCCAGGGCCCCCCTCGCTGTGCCAGGCACTCACCTGACAGCCGTCCGAGGCAAGTAACTCCTACTCCCATTTCGGTTAAAAAAATAAATTAACAAAAAAATTAAAAACCAACCAAACAAAAACCCTAAACAAAAAAAAAAGAACACCAACAAAAGACATCTAGCAAAGGAAAGGTTATTTCTAACTCCACACTTCGCTGCCGTGCTGTCCCACGTTTTACCTTCGCCTGCATGGCGGCCAAGCGGTGCTAAGGTGACGTGACAATGCGAGGGGCAGGCTTCAGGAGCCGATTTCATCCTAGACTTCACCAGGAGTTAAACGGGGGCCGTGGCGCTTGCCGATCCGCTCCGGGAGGAGCACGGCCCGGCCGCCAGCTCCTGCCCTGCCAACTACCGAGCGAGCCCGCTATACTTTCCACCTCGGCTTGGTCGGGCACTGTATCCCGCCGGGATCCGATGGCACTTCAGTCTCTGCCCGAAGTCGCACCCGTCCCGCCCCGGCGAGAGGCCAGGGGCCGCGGCCGCGCAGGGCGGGAGAGCGGCCCCGAGGGGCGGGCGGCCCGCGGGCCCTCCCGCCGGGGACAGGCGGGGGGAGGGCCGGGGACGGCGCCCCCCGAGCGGCCCCGCCGGCCACACAGGTGCGCTGCCCGCCGGGTGGACAGCGGCGGCCCTCGGCCTCCGGCTCCCGCCGGCCGCACAGCGAGAGTCTCGGGGAACCCCCGCGGCGAGCTCTGCTCCCCCTTCCCCGCAACCGCGGCCTCACGGAGACCCAGTTCCCGCCACCCCCGGCTTGGCTGCGGCTCCCGCGGCATCACCTTGCCGCCTGGGGCTCCGCGCTGCTCGCAGCGCCGGGAAAACTTTCCTCCTCCGGCACCTCCATCCCGCAGTCAGCAGCACAGCCCGGCCCCCGCATTACCCCCGCCCTCACACTTACGCTCGGCAGGCGGTGCGGAACGCGCCGCGATTTTCCGTCGGCTCCCGCAGCGCCGGGGGTCGCGATGGGCAGCAGGGGCGCTCCGGTGGGACCGAGGCGCGAGGCCGGCGTGTCCCGCGTCCCCGCGGCTAAGGAGCCTCGGCGGTGTCTCGGGGTCTGTGTGCGAGGAGGAGCTGCCCGCTCCCGCCCTCCGCCCGCTCGCCTTCCCCACGGGCTCCTGGCACCGGGCCGCGCTGTCACATGACGCCGGCGCCGCTCGCCCTGCCAGGCTCCCCGGGCCGGCGGGGTGAGTGGCGGTGGGAGGGTCACGGCAGGGAGCGCGGCCGGGCGGGTCCCCGCCCGCGGGGTGGAGGCTCCGCCGAGGGGCCGGGGCGAGTCACCGCTCACAAACAGCCGGGCACGCACTGACTGCGCGCCCGCCCTGCCTCCCGGGGGCAGACAGCCTCGCACAGACACTAATTATCCCCAGCAGCCCGGGAAGGAGAGGGGAGGGGAGTGGGGCCGCCCCACCGACAAACCTGCCGGTCCAGCTCCTCCTCCCCGCCCGTGTGTCAGGCAGAGGCGTGCACCTGGCAGCGGCCCTGCGGCAGGGCGCACCCCTCCCTGCTCCCCTCCCTCCGCGTCCACCCCGGCCGACCTGCGGCGGCAGCAAAACAACAGCAACACCCAGCGCCCGGGGGGAAGGAAGGGAGGTGCTCACGCTGGGCCGCTGCCGCCGAGCTGGCTTCGCCGGCGGGGGCTGGGAAAGGGCGCGGGGCGGCGCGGAGCCGGGCGGCGGCTCCCGGCCCTGCCGCCGCGGGCTGCCCGCGCCGCGCCCCGGCGCGCCGGGGGAGGTGGCGGGGCCGGGCGGGGCGAGGGCTGGAGCGCGGCGGGCGTGGGGCAGAGGTGTCGGCCCGACTCCGCCCCGTCTTGGCGGCCGGCCCGCCGGGACCGCCGGCTGCTGAGGCCCGTGCCGGGGTGGATTTTATGGCTGCGCTGAGCCCGTCGTGCCTCGGGTGCGCTCCCGCCGGAGCGAAAAGGGGCCGGCGGGGAGAGGCGCTGCTAGCTTGCCTCGACACGACCCCCGTCGCCAGAGGCGGCGATCCCCTCCCTCCCCCACCCGTGCCGCCCCTGCCTGCCCAGCCTTGCGTCTGGCACCGGCCCGGGGCAGGTGTGTGTGCGTGACCCGGCCCGCCCCTGTTCCGGGCTCCGCTCGCCGCGGGAGGAGCCGCGCTGCCCCGGGGGCCGCTCCCGGCGCGGAGATGCGGGGTGCGGGGCCGCTCCCGGCGCGGGGATGCGGGATGCGGGGTGCGGGGTACGGCGGGGCGCCGGCTCTGCCCCGGGACTGCGCTTGCTGCTAGAGACAGCTTGCAGCGGAGCGCCCTGCACGCACTCTCTGTAAAATGCGAGGCACTCACAGCCACAGAAGAAGACCGAGGGACTTCACTAGCAGTAGTACTTTTTAAAAAATGTATCTTGGCTGACTGTATCGATTCTACTGGTTAAGGAAAAGTGCTTCCACTTATTTACTGAAATATAGTGCGCTTACAACGATTGTAGTGTGCCATATGAAATCATGTTCTCTCCTTACTGATGTACCTAACCATGAGACCAAGGAAGAGGTAAATGCTGTGTTTGGCAAGGCCCTGTCCAGTGCTAATGGCATGGACAGATGAAAAGCCAGTTATACATCCTGTGGATAGACAGGTTACCCGGCAGGTCTTCATTTATGCTTTGTTTTGTGGGTAAAGTCAGTGGAAGGGGCTGAGTATTTCTGGCTCTGCAGAACCAGTCTATGTATATAACTGTCTTAATAAGACCCTAGTGTAACATACCTGTTTGTATGTTTGGGTTGAAATTTCTGTTCATTTTGAGTCTAATTGACCCAGTCGATAATGCTGTAAAAACAAAGCAAAGAAGGAAGGGGAAAGAATGGGGAAAGTATTTTCTAACACAGGGCTGTGCATGCATGTCTTTATTCCTAGGATGTTTTAATAAATCCCTTTACTTAGCTTGCTAGTCTGTATGGCTTTAAAAAAGCAAATTAAGACACCAATCTGAAGCCCTGAAGGGTATGACTCAGTGACATAACAATAAATTGTAGTATCTCCTGCTAAGTAATTACGCCATATCATGTCACAACAAGGTATTGTTGAAATACTATCATGTAGCTCATAAAGTGTCATTTTTTTATTATAAGCCTATAAAATAAACAGAATGCTGTGTTACACACATGGGTGCAAAATATTCCATTAGGGCTGTGAAAAGGTGCTGGTGTAGTTTTCTTGCAGGAACATGCTCAAGATAAAGTAGGTATGTCCCAGTTTGCATTCTTTTATTCTGGGAACTAGCAGAGGTTAAACAGCAACTGAAACCCTTAGGTCAGAGGCAGAGCTGTTCTGATGTCAAATTGTGAGAAATGCCAAAATATTTAGTAGTAGCCAGCATGCTGCTCCTGGTGAAGTCACTGGCTTTTCTTGCTATCATCTAGCTCTGGCCTCAGATGAACCTGTTTAATCTGCTGTAATTTTACTGTCTTCTTGTGAAGTGGTAGAGGAGAGGGAGGATTGAGAATGATGCTTTTGCACTGTCAAGACTGTATACCTTTCAGCATTTTGTTGCCTTCCTGTGTTTGTTTTTGGTAAGTCCAAGTTCTGAAGGTAGCAGAATCTTACTGATTTTAGTGGGAATTGAAAATCCAGAAGGGAGAAGCTGGGAGCAGAGAGAGTCCTTGCCATCTGGTTAGCAGACCCAGCAGTTTCAACCATGCCTGGAAGTGTTTCTAGATCAAAGGATGGGTTGATGGCAGCCCTTAACATCTTCCAGCCCAACACCTCTTCCATCTCTGCTCTACCCATCATCCCCACAGAATGACTTCTGTCTCAAAACGGAAGGAAGAGAAGTGCTGTGCAAGTCCTTGGTATTGAAAAAGAGAAAGAGTGCTGCTTGGATGTCCTTTGGTTTGTATCACCTGCCATGAGCCCTTGCAACAAGATGGAGCATCTAACATGATGGGGCCTTGAGGATCCTTAATCCCAAGCATTAGGAAGAGTGTTGGCAACATGTTACAAGTTTCTGATGTAAGCAGACAGGAGGTGTTACCTAGAGCGTGTTGAGGGGAAGGTATGGAAATCTGGTGTGAACAAATCAGTATTAAAATGTTAAATGAATGGGTATAATATGTTCAGATGTCTGCTGAAAGACCATATCCAGCCATTTGTTGAAATGAACCTTTGCTACATTCAGCCAAACTGACATTGTGATAAATGTGACTGTTCTGTCATATTTATGACAAATTCTACTTCCCAAAAATCAGTTAAAAAATAAAGGAAATACTTAAGAGTTCTGTGTACTTTTTCAGTCCTTAATTCAACTTCGGGTTATGAGGTGAATTGGAAGTAATTTGCTGGATCCAAGCAGTACAATTGTTAAGCTGGCATTTCTTCCAAGTTGTTCTGTGTTACAAAATGTGCTTTATATATAGTCAGTGAGTGATACTTATGCAGGGAAAATGTTCACTGCAACCAGTGGGTTTTTTCCTTAGTCTACAGATACATGTTTGAGGGATTTGGATATCTGTGTATAAACTTACTGTGTTCTGCAGTTTCAGGTCAGATAGTCACCTCATACATCTCACTGAACAGCTGCTGGAAGGAATGAGGGAGAGATCATCACCTAGCCAGCAATACTCATTACTTTTGTTAAACACAGTTAACATTTTTGAAGAACCATAAATTTTACACTTAAAATGCTATTAATTTATTGCACCCCAAATGTTTAATCTCCACAGTATAGTGATGATACATGCTATAAGTCCAAGTTGTTAAAAATACAGTAGTTGAGGCAGTAAGAATTTGAATTGAAGCTTACATTACTTAAAAGCTTAGGTATGTTTACGCTGCAGTGATGCACATACCTGATCTGGTTTAAAGTCAGCTAGGGAACTGGTAGCAATCTGGCTGTGGCAGTGTGGACCCTGTAGCTATCTGGAAAACATGCCCAAAAAGCTGGGAAAATACTTGAGTGGTTAGGCTGGCCCGAACTCAATGGCCAGACTACTACCAGTGCCCTAGACAAGTAATTTAAAGCTTGCCTGGCAGTGTGTCCACAGCATTGCAGTCACATCACTTGTGGCTGTAGCACAGACATTACCTTCTGTGAATTCTGTGACTCAGCCTTGTCTTCTGGCAATGATTCCCAAGCTCTTCTGGGAGTTCTGCAGCCAGTATCAATTCAGTGGTCCATGGGAAAGGCCTTTGCAGGTATTAAAAAGCTCACAACACAGACAACACAGCCTAAGATGCACCTTTACAGCATTGAAACGTCCTGTGTTGTAACGGTGGGCTCTCGTGGCCACATGGCAGCTCTGAGTCAGTCTGTGTGTTTGCATAATTGGGTCCTTCTTGTTTGCTTGGAGGAAGGGCAAGGCGAGGTGAGTAGCCAGGCTTCCTGCCTCTGTCATACAGGTGTGGACAAGAGGAAACCACTGGAGGAGCTTGGGCAGAGCTGCTGTTGAGGTGCACGGGGCCTAGGGCAGAGGCTGCTGTGTGCACCCCTCCCTGCCTCTCTCCTGCCCACACAGGGATGACGAGTCCTGCTGCCTGACCTGGCCCGGGTTCCTCCTTCTGCCTGTCCCTCCCTGTGGCCCATGGACCAACACAATTACTGTAGTTCCTCACCCCTGAAATGAATTTACATTTTGTGCAGAAACAAATTTCAAACATCACAACACAAGGTTCTTCTGTTCACGGCCTCACACAAGGAAAGGATGGATGGCTGCTCTTTCTAGTTAAAAGCAACAAATCACACATTACTGCTTTTAGCAAAAATCAGCTCTCTGAGGGCCAGCCCTCAAGCCCACTGCAGCAATCAGAATTACAGAGTCAACGTGTGGGGACTTGGGGGGAGGGGGAGGTGTGTGTGTGTGTTGAATTTCTTGTCATATGTTGATGTTTTTAAGAACAGGCAGGATTTTTTTTTTTTTTTGCAGGTGTAATGACTACTGAAGGCTGCTAAGCTTAAATTTCATTATTTGAATTGTAGAATGATGGTTGAATTTAGTAGTGATGCCCAAGATGTTGTCAAGGGACACTTGAAGTTTCCATAGTTGGTAGAATAACAACAATTTT